AACCTAATTCTCTGCTCACAGTTTTATATTTTTGATAATTGGAAGAATTTTCTATGACTAGTTTAAGGTTTCATACATTCCAAACTTGGTTTCTCCCTCACTTCCCATGTCATTCTAGGGACAGGCGCTACAGGCACATTCATGTCATCATCTATACCCTCTAGCCCTTCCCAGTTTGTGTCAGAATGTCTGGTGAATTAGCACAGGCTGGTAGGAGTATTCTTGGCAGCATTCCAGCTTTAGAACAACTAGCAAAAATCTAAATATAGACAGATGTGATTGCAAACTACATAAATATCCCCTTAAGCTCAAACTAAATGTATGTACAACAAGCTTACTCTAACTGGGCCCCCAAAATGTTCCCAGAATGTGACAGAGGAGAATTCAGAGTGGAAACAGACAGTGGTCTTAACATGCTGTGGTTAAATCTTTCTTTTGCAACTTTTTAAAGAACAATTATATAATCTAGGCCCTCCCAGGGCCTAGAAGGGGTATTTGCAGTCGAGTACCTAGAAGTTTAAGGAAAATGCTGGGAAATTGGACTTCAGATACTTCTCATAAAGAGGATGAAGGCGGGGATTGAGAGAGAGAAGATGTGCAACCTTCTGTTTTCACTTGATGTTGTTGCCATAAGTTGAAAAAGGACAGTGTACTTGACTCCCCTTTTGGAAGAATTTAACCAATCCCATCTGGCAGTGTCTGTTTTTAAGTAGCGTCTTCAGGGAGTTAGGGAAGAGGCAGCGCTTTCTTGGTGACTCCACTTCATGGGCTGAATCAGCCACTGGGACTAAATGGCACAGGCCCAGCTCAACCTCCTCAGATCCCAGCAGTCCCAGAGGAACCTGGGTACTGGAGCCAGGCTGGCTAGGTTGGATCCCAATGCTTCTCTTTCAGTATTCTGTTAATGAGAATCACAGAACTAACATCCTTACTTCAGAAAGCAGTTTTCACTTTGGGACCAAAAAACATCGCAGTGTAAGGAAACAACTAATTTATTCAACCTCCAGTGATATGAGATGATCTCATTTTATATGTTAAAAGGTTTCAGATGAAATAATTTTTTGGAACAAGAAATAACTCAGATTTAAAGCATTTGATTAAGAAAGTATTTTAAATATTTCTCATGGGTTTTTGGTGCGTAACAGTCACATACCTTTAAAAAATATGTTACAGTTGGCCTGTATCTGTGGGTTCCACATCTATTGATTGAACCAACTGGGGATTGAAAATACTTTTTAAAGTACTGAGTATTTCAGACTTTTTTCTCTTGTCATTTTCCCCTAAACAATATAGTATAACAACTATTTACATAGCATTTACATTGTGTTAGGTATTATAAGTAATCTAGAGATGCTTTAAAGTATACAGGAGTATATGCATAAGTTATATACCAATACTATGTCATTTTATATCACAGACTTGAGCATCTCTGGATTTTGGCATGTGAAGGAAATCCTGGAATATCGAGGGACCAATGTTTTTATTTTCAACTAGACTGCTTAAATATAGACTGTGTTCTTCAATCAGCAAATTTTAGGGAATGGAGGAATACAGAGTTTAGAATTTTTTCTCTCTGGGAGGCCAAGGCAGGAGGATCGCTTGAGCTCAGGAGCTCGAGTCCAGCCTGAGCAAGAGCGAACCCCATCTCTACTAAAAACAGAAAAAAGTAGCTGGGCATGGTGGCATGTGCCTGTAGTCCCAGCTACTCGGGAGGCTGAGGCAGGAGGATCACTTGAGCCCAGGAGTTTGAGGTTGCTGTGAGCTAGGCTGACACCATGACACTTTAGCCTGGGTGACAGAGCGAGACTCTGTCTCAAAAAAAAAAAAGAATTTTTTTCTAAGATCATTACTTGATTTTTAAACATTAATGGGATTGATCTTGGCATTTATTTATTTGTAGGTCTTTTTATTTTAATGTCATTTTGTAAAGCTAATAAAATGATATGAGGAAATTTGTATAAGGGATTTAATGTTTTACATAGAGAATATATATTACTTTATAATGAAAATGTAAATAAAGCAGTAAGTATGGGCATGCTGTTTACTGTCAATCAACACTAGACTAAGTACTTTGGGCACTCATGGATATCCTCAGGGAGTGTCTGGTTCAGATGGAGAAAAAGCCTAACATTTATGTAATACCAGCACATGTGAGGCAGTGTAAAATTATGTGCTAATTTACAAAGGTACAAGAACCTATAATATAGAAAGACATGTGGAAACATGAAAAAATGCTCAACATCTCTAATCATCAGGGAAATGCAAATCAAAACCACAATGAGATATCGCTTATCTCCAGTGAGAATGGCCTTTATCAAAAAGTCCCAAAACAATAAACATTGATGTGGATACGGAGAGATAGGAACACTCTTACATTGCTGGTGGGACTGCAAACTAGTGCAACCCCTATGGAAAGTAATATGGTGATACCTTAAAGAGATACAAGTAGGCCTAGCGCAGTGGCTCACGCCTGTAATCCTAGCTCTCTGGGAGGCCGAGGCGGGCGGATCGTTTGAGCTCAGGAGTTGAGACCAGCCTGAGCAAGAGCGAGACCTGTCTCTACTAAAAATAGAAAGAAATTACTTGGACAGCTAAAAATCTATATAGAAAAAATTAGCCGGGCATGGTGATGCATGCCTGTAGTCCCAGCTACTTGGGAGGCTGAGGCAGTAGGATCACTTGAGCCCAGGAGTTTGAGGTTGCTAAGAGCTAGGCTGACGCCACGGCACTCACTCTAGCCCGGGCAACAGAGTGAGACTCTGTCTCAAAAAAAAAAAAAAAAAAAAAGAGAGGTACAAGTAGATCTACCATTTGATCCAACAAGACCATTACTGGGCATCTACCCAAAAGAACAAAACACATTCTATAAAAAAGACATCCGCACTCAAATGTTTGTAGCAGCACAATTCACAATTACAAAGATGTGGAAACAGCCCAAGTGCCCATCAGTACATGAGTGGATTAATAAAATGTGATATATGTATACCATGGAGTACTATTCAGCTATAAGAAACAATGGTGATATAGCACCTCTTGTATTCTCCTGGATAGAGCTGGAACCCATTCTACTAAGTGTAGTATCCCAAGAATGGAAAAATAAGCACCATATGTACTCACCAGCAAATTGGTTTCACTGATCAACACCTAAGTGCACACATAGGAATAACATTTATCGGGCGTCGGGCAGATGGGAGCGGAGAGGAGGGGATGGATCTATACATACATAATGAATGCGATGCGCACCATCTGGGGGATGGACACGCTTGAAGCTCTGAATGGGGGGGGCAAGGGCAATGTAACCTAAACATTCGTACCCCCATAATACACTGAAATAAAAAAAATTAAAAAAAAAAAGACATGCAGAGGCAAGAGGAAGAAGGAGAGCTATGTAGTTAGCCAAGGTTTTCCTGAAGGATCCCAGATGAACACAGGTTAGAGAATATTAAGTGAAAAGAGGCCCCACTGATAGAAGCCAACATAAGAATTTTCACAGGACTAAAGGTAACCTTTAGAGTCCTTGGGATTTTTTTATGTAAACAATCATGTCATCTGCAAGTGGAGGCAGTTAGATTTTTTCCTTACTAATGGATATTCCATTTATTTCCTTTTCTTGCCATATTGTACTGGTTAAAAGTTCTAGCACTGTGTTGGATAAGACCGGTGAGAGTTGACATCTCTGCCTTGTTCCCTATCAGGGGAAAGGCATTCAGTTTTTCACTATTAACTATAATGTTTGCTCTAAGTTTTTGTGCCTACTATTTATCAATTTCAACTTCTTTTAAATTTGTTGATGCTTTATGGCCTAGAATATGATCTATCTTGGTATATGTACCATGACATTTGGAAAAAATATGTATTCTGCTGTTGTTGATTGGAGTGTTCTACAAATGTTGATATGGTCCTTTGCTTGATGGTGTGACTCAATTCTTTTATATCTTTACTGATTTTCTGTCTAGTCATTTTCTCAATTTTTGAGAGAGGACTTCAAGTTTGTAACTTGATTGTTTTATCTGTTTCTCCTTTCATTTCAGTCAGTTCTTGCAGCCCATATTTTATAGCTCTATTACTTGGTGCATATACATTTAGGATTGCTATGTCTTTTTAATAGATTCACCTTGTTGTCATTATATAATGTCCCTCTTGTTCTCTGATAATTTTCTTTGCTCTGAAGTCTGCTTTCTCTGATATTAATATCGCCACTCTTGCTTTCCTTTGACCAATATTTGCATCTCTTTGTTTTCAGTTTGCTTATACAATTATATTTGAAGTTTCTTATATACAGCATATAATTAGGTCATATTTTTAATCCATTCTGTCAATCTCTGTCTTTAAATTTGTATGTTTATACCATTTACATTTAATGTATTAATTGATATGCTGGGGGTTAAATCTGCCATTTTTTGGTTTGTTCATTGTTTTTCATATCTCTGTTTTATTTTTCCTGCCTTCTTTTGGGTTACTTGAACATTTTTTAGAATCCTACTTTATCTTAGTGCTTTTGAGTGTATCTCTTTGTATAGCTTCACCTCTCTAAACTGCAGTTTTCTTATCTGAAAATGGAGAGTTTTATATCTATAAAATCTGTGGTTATATTGTAAAAATTAAATAAGATGATATATATGAAGCCCAGTGTTAAACATGTAGTAAATGCAATGGTAGTTCTGACCACTAATTATCATCATCAGATGGTTTTTTTGTCACTGTAAACTCTTAATTTTTTAAAGGCTGTAAAAAGTCTTGTGGTAGGAATGTTCCATAATTAAACATTCCCAAATGTTAGACATCTAGGTAATCTTCACTTTTTCAGTTTTATAAATAAGATAGGTATCTTGGTGCTTAAATCTGTCTTCATTGTGGATCATTTCCTTACATTCAGCTTCTTAGCGGTAGAATTACAAAGTTAAAAGATAGAACCTTCTAAAAAGGTGATACCACAATTGCACTAGCAATGGGAGAAAGAGAGAGAGATTTTTCTAATTTTCAAACTTTATATTTCCTAGAAGCATCAGAAGGTGGAGGAGAAGACACAGAAGCTATGCAGCAGGAAACAGTTCCAGTTCCCGCACCAGCAAAGAAAACCAAACAGGTAATAGTAACTGTGGGAGAGTCACGGCTGGTGGATTCTGAAACCAGCTTCTTCCACCCCTGTACAGCATTTCCTGAGTCCTAGTATCAGTTGTTCGTGGGATTTGAGAGACGCTTTTACCTTTTCTGCCTCTGAAAGGGCCATGGTTCCTTAATTATGAACCAGCAAGGTCTGTTTTAGCCCTAATTTTTTTAACTATATAAATGGATTTCAAAGTAATGATATCTTAGATTTTTATATAACATTTTCACCAAAGATCCAGCCTTTTCTTTTGGGTCCAGTTCCTAAAAGGAGACAAATAGCATAAAGATATAGAAGATTACTCTACACACAAATGCATGATTACAGTACCATGCCATGCTGCCAGCAGGCTCCTAGGACCTTATTTCTGCCCAGCCTTATGGTCTGTCACATACATTATCAGGGGATTTACTGCCTTTGTATTGTCATAAGTGGACATTGGATAAACTTTGCTTCCTAAACCTGTGACCTTTTACTGTCTTTTTAATCTCCTACTGACTTTTGAAATGCCACTCACATCCATTTGTAGCTATTTCCCATTATATGTTGAAATATATTTTGTCTTTTTTATTTTGTTCCTTATTTTTTCTTTGGGGGAAGAAGACTGCAGAAAGGTATAATACATACATAAATTATATACATTTACTATATAATCTTGATTTTTTTTCTCCAACCATTAAATATTTTGTTCAAAGGGCCATAACTATTCTTTCAAAACCTATAGATTAGCATATCCTTAGCTTTTCAATTTATTCCCTCAAATTGAGGTTTAATTTTACCTTAACTTATCCCACTGACCACACCCATAGTCAGAACTTCTCTGACTTTTTTTTTTTTTTTTTTGAGACAGAGTCTCACTGTGTTGCCCGGGCTAGAGTGCCGTGGCATCATCATAGCTCACAGCAACCTCAAACTCCTGGGCTCAAGCGATCCTCCTGCCTCAGCCTCCCGAGTGGCTGGGACTACAGGCACACGCCACCATGCCCGGCTAATTTTTTTTTTTTTCTATATATTTTTAGCTGTCCGATTAATTTCTTTCTATTTTTAGTAGAGACAGGGTCTCGCTCTTGCTCAGGCTGGTCTCAAACTCCTGAGCTCAAACGATCCTCCCGCCTCGGCCTCCCAGAGTGCTAGGATTACAGGCGTGAGCCACCGCGCCCGGCCCTTCTCTGACTTTTGCCTCTAACCAATGCCTACTTGCAGAACTTATTTCCAAATACTCTTCTTCTTACCCCATTGGCTTTCTTTTTTCTTACTTTCTCCCTTGATTTTCTTCATGCTTGCTCCTTAATCTTTCTGGACCCATTGGTAAAAGAATAAACTTGAGTAAGCAAATTTACCCAAGCCTGCATCATTACTTCTTTTTATTGGTGGAACCATCAGCTACCTTTCTGCCTGTTCTATAGGTTGGCTTTTCTCGTACTACAGTCATCAAATTAGATAAATGGAAGGTAGCTATAGAAAGAAAAGGAAAACTGAGAGAGGAGAAAGTACTTTCCTCAGTTCTGTGAGCATTCACCTATCTTTCTGCCCAGATTTCAACAATAATGAAGACCTTTCACTGCACAGTTACCACAGGCACTGCACAAGGCACACCATAACTCACATAATCCTCACAGCCTCCCTCTGAGGGGGGTGGGACCCCATGTCACAAAGAACCTGAGGCTCAGAGAGACAGGTTCCAGGAGTCAGGCCTACCCGGCTGTGTGTGAGCCAGACTCTGAGGATGCTGCTACCTGGGCTTCCCTTTTTACCTGTCCTTTCTCTTTCAACTCGGGGAAAATTGGATTAACCATATTCTCCTGTGCTTTCTTGGTCACATGCCATTGCTGTTTTTCTGAACAACAACAACAAAAAATTACAAGAGTTTGAGATTTACTGCCCATTTTAATCACCTTTCTCTTGCTCTAATTTCTTTCACGACTAAATTACTTTGAAGAGTCCAAGTCCTAGGTAGACTAAATGCCCTACCGCCGTTCACCAACCCTAGCCTCAATTCCCAGGCCAGAGAATTATTCTCTTTCTCTTCACATGGGAATCTGTTTGCGCCCCTCTGCCTCATGTGAGTATTTGTCCTTTTAGGGCCCTGGTCTTCCCCACCAGGTCATACCACCTCAAGGATGGAATTTATCTGTGCATCTCCAGCCTCTGGCACAGAATCTTGCCCCAAATTGGCACTCATTTTTTGCAAAATGAAGGAATGAATTACCATACCAATATCCCTGTTTTCTCATCACTTTTTCCATCTCAACCCTTTGTGTCCCAGCTTACAAGCCATCAGCTCCCTGACACTGCTCCTGCAGATGCTACCTGCCCACACGGTCCCTCGGGTTCCTCTGTGAGCCCCCTGGTCCTGTCCCTCCTGCTGCTCTTCTGTTTCTAGAACTCCTCCCACCACCACAAGGATGACTTTCTTGTTAGGCAAGAACAAGTAAACAGTAAACAACTGTCCTTCTCTAGTTGTTTACACAGGAAGAACTTGAACCTCCCTCCAAGTGGTTCATAAGTGCCTGAGGGCCAGAGTTTCTTTCGTGTCCACTATAGTACCTAGCACAATTTGGGGCACTTATTTGGCAGATGTGACAAGACATATGTTTTCTAAATATAATTACGTTTTTTTCTGGATCAAAAAACAGAAGAAATTACTTTGTGCTATATTTAAATTTTGAATTCTTTTCAAATTTGCTTAGTTACTTTGCTGGTTTTTATTAGGCTCATAAAGGAACTGCCTGGCATTACGGTGTCAGCTGTAATACACATTTAGGTTTTAACGTCACCAGGTGAGAGCATCCGTCAGGGTAGATGGCGTTCCCTCCTTTGCCATAGCTGGGCCTCACATTTGTGCTACTGAGTCCACACCCCCAATCTGTCTAGTACTTCAAACAGCAGATTTATAACTTTATAAAATTTTTTAAATCCATATAACTACATCATCTCTAGCAACCATTTCACATCTAAGTAATCATCATTGACCTGCTTAATAATGTGAGTATAAAGATTTGCCAACAGTTCTTTTTCCTTCCCAGTTACTGCTTCCAAAATAAATGATGAATTCCCCTACTCCTAGAGATTGCATCACCCTCTTCCCTCCTCAACATCAGTCATTTCAGAGCCAGTCCTAGTGACTTTGTAATTACGGTTCCCAGAATATAAACGCTTACGAAGGATTTGTGACTTTTCATTGATGCCTCCATGATGTCAGTAGCCTCTCAGTGGTTCCATGACCCATCCTCTCCTCCTCAGAGACCACACTGGACTCCTTTTCTCTTCAGCTAGTCTTTTGTTTATCTCCTCGGATCACAGAGGAATCTTCAGCAAGAGTGCTTGTCCCTTCTCCTCCTTATTCTACTTTCTCTACTATTGTATTTACTTACTATTTCTTTATTTAAGCATTGACTATTTAATATTCCTTCCACTCTTTATCACCAAGATTATTCTTGACTATTGTTGAAAGAAAACAATATTTCTTCCATTGTCTGATTCACCTTCTTTTCCATGATAGTTTCTCAGTTCTGTTCTTTGTATTAATCTATTGTTGCATAACAAATTGCCCAAAATTAGTGGCTTAAAACAAACAAAAAAAAATCATTATTTGACAGTCTGTGTTATCTCACAGGCATGGCTTAGCTCAGTTCGTCTGGCTCTGCATCTCTCATCAGGCTCCAGCCAAGCTGTGGGGTTAGGGGTGGGGAGCTCGACACGGGTGAGTCCACCTCGAGGCTCACTTGTGTGGTTGTTGGCAGGTCTCAGTCCCTCACTGCGTTAGCCTCTCTACCGGGTTGCCTCACAACACTGCAGCTGGCTTTCCCCAGGCTGAGTGATCGAAGAGCGAATGAGCGAGCATACCCAAGACAGAAACCACATCTTTTTATAAGCTGTTCTCAGAGTTGACATCTCATCACTCCTGCCATATTCTATTAGAAGCAAGTCAGTAAATGTTAGGAGTTTCTTATTAAGTCTCAAGGCCTAGGAATAATTCTCCACGGTTCTTGGCTCTTTGGGCACTTCATTCTCTCCTCTACATCATCTTTCTTCTGTTTTGGGTTCCCCCACCCCCACCCCATGAAAAGTAGTATGTGTTTGCAACTGAGCAGCTCATTCAGCTTGCTTCTTGACAGAATTCTGAGGGTCCAAATGTCACACTTCATGTTGTTCTCTGACTCTCTCGGCCCAAACTAGTGGTGTTTCTGCATATATAACTCCTTTAAAAGCTGTGTGGGTCACCTGTGATTCTTTTGGGGGTTTACTTCATTAGGCAGAAGTCACACCCACAGATCTTTTCTTGATAAACCCTGCTCAACCTTGGGCCCCTGCTGAGACAACTGAGGGACAACACCCCTGAGCTTTTTGCAGGCATATTGTTTGAGAAAATCTGTGCTGTGTGGCATAAGCCTAATTTCCTTAAAGAGCTCCTACGTGACTGAATAGTATTCTGAGGCATCGTCTTTATTCTTTCTGAGGTCTTAACAAATAGTTTTGCAGTCACACCCTTGACTTCATTTTTAATAGTCCTTCTCTCCATTTAACTGACTCCTTTTGCATTTTACTGTCAGCTCCAAGAAGAAATCAGGTGGCACTTTCAACACTATTTGGAAATCTCCTTTAAGATTTTCCTGACTTTCTTCAAGCTGTTGCCCTGTCTTCAAGGTAAAAAATTTTATGAACAGTAGGTTCAGGTACACTTTCCATCAATCACCTTATTTTTGACACATTTCAAAGCAATTTGCAAAATCAGTACTCGCCCCCCACATTTCAGCATGCATATCATTAACTAACATTCAATCTCTGTTTTAAAGTTCTTTTATTTTCCTTTGAGATAAAGTTGACATACAATCAATGCTCAAATGTACCTTCAATGAGATTTGATAAATATATATAACTGTGAAACACAAAGCCCTATCAGGATAAAAAACAATATTGTCATCCCAGAATCCTTTTGTGCCACCTCTGGGTCAGTCACCATTCTAAACTCCTTGCCC